CACACACACACACACACACACACACACACACACACACCAGGACAAGGATTTCAAACAACTTTCTTTATTCCATGTGAAACCACACTACAACAGGAGCAGGAAACACTGGTGATGATATAATCAGGCTCATTCTAATCACAGCTGGATTCAGTCAACTGTAAGAAAGTAAAAATACACACTAATTGAAAAAAGAAACCCAGTGAAATTATTAGAGGTACATAAATAAACATTAAATAGTGAATAAATAATAAAATAAATAAAAGAACCATTGATTTAGCCTACAGCTACACAAAATAAATCGCCCTAATAAAACCTGGCAAATGTTTCATGAGACAGTTGAGATGTCCCCACAAATATATAAAGTTGATTTTTTTACTTGGTTTTCATCCCTGCACTATTAATATGTTTATCTTTGGTAGAACCAAGGTCCACAGTGACCAGCTCTGTGGTGTCACATCAGATCTGATCTGGGTCCAGATCTCCAGAGCCTTGTCTGGTCCTGGAGAACTGGACCCAACCACACAGTTTACCATGCCACGTTTTTTGGTTTTTCTTTGCACTGTTAAGCACTCGCTTCTCTTAAGCACCCCATCAGCTCTACGTTCTGCACCAAATGTCCAAACTGATTGTTGAAAGCAGTCATCAGTCTGTCGCTGATCAGTTCAACAAGGAAGAAGAAGATTTCTTTGCTAAAACACAAGAGTAAGTAAGGTTCCCTTCTGCTCATTTAAGAACAGTCACTATCTGATTCCCATAAAAGGGACGTCCTCTGACATTCTTTTCATTATGGTTACTTGGTTTTATATGGAATAACAAGTATTGATGAGCTTAAAACACTTTGGTAGGCAACTGTGAAGTCTAAATATGAGCAGGCAGATATTTAACCGCATGTCACAAACACTTGATCCATTCCACTCCACGTATCACCACTGCACTACTCAGACCTCTGCAGCTCTAGCAGCTAATGGTAAAAAAATCAAATACAGTCAGCTTCCACCACTCATTTAAAGAGTAAATTGCTGGTGTGGTATTGCATAGAAAGCAGACACGCTCAGCAGTGAGAGGGACTGTATTAAAGCATCTTAATCCATCACGGTTACACAAATAAGCAGGAGAGCGTTGAAAAGGCTTGGTGTATATGTCTTCAAAATTACCTTATTGTACCCTAAACAAATGTAAAATAACTTAAACATCATGTTCCATTGTGATGATTTATACACATTGTGGATATTTATGAGATTTGCATTGTTATTTTTTTATTTATGTTTTATTTTTCAGAATTAGGATTGTAAATGTAGGTTCATAAAGCACTGAGTGACTTAAACTGTTCTCCTTTGGTTTTCATGTTTGTTCATTTCTAAAAACTGTCTACTGAGGTCTCTTCTTCACTTTTTGTCACACAAAAGTACAAGCATGTGTGCCACACACTGATACAGTCTGACCATTGATCCGTGTGGGTTAAACTCAGAGGAAGTAGTCGGGGGGAGGAGAAGGTGGGCTGCTGGTGCGTGACTGAGGGGCGTCGTTCACAACACTCTGATTAGTGCTGAGCAGTTTCTCATAGCGAGCTTTGTAGGCGTCTCTCTCCCTCAGAACACGAGTCAGCTCACACTGTAGCTGTTCCAACTGCAGAGAAATAAATCCATCATATACAAAAAAATAAATATATCGCTAACAAATATATTAAACAAATACATTGGTRACAGAAAAAAATATCACTAACAAACACATACTGTATGTTTTTTAGATTGTGCAAATGCACCTCACTTTGACTCAAAATGTTTTATGTCCTCATGTCCTCAAGGGAGCAGAGCCATAGAGTTATGTAAGACAACTAGAGTGAGCATTGGTCATGTGATCTTTAGATTCACTAGCAACAACAGCATTAGCTGAAAACATAAACATCCTACTTGGCATTTATTGGTATATAAAGGCTAATAAGGGCTGACAATGTAAATAATAATAATAAAATGCATGAAATATAATGTATTAATAATGTAATAGTGAATATAAACTCTTATGTCTATAAAACTGTCAAAAAACTGTGCATTATGGATTCAGAACAAAAGGAGAAACAAAAATGTGTCTCATTTCACAAGTAAACAGATCTTGTCTTATTTACTTCATTGTGGATGTGGTCTTACCAGAACTGAATAATGTAACAGTTTATAATTCAAATAAGCTTATAAAGAAATCATTAGGAATCATTTGTGACACAGATCAAGTTGGGCTTGCTGTCAGATAAATAGAGATATGATGATCTCTTTGGACGTCATCTTACTTTCTCCACGATGTCACAGAAGTAAACAACGGGCAACAAATCAGTGCTCACGCTAACTGTTTTATTATAATTAAAAAGGTGTGTGTTGTACCTGTTGTCTGTTGTACCTGTTGGGTGTGTGTTGTACCTGTTGCATTGTACCTTTTGAGTGTTATACCTGTTGTGTGTTATACCTGTTGTGTATTGTACCTGTTTTGTGTTGTATCTGTTGTCTGTTGTACCTGTTGTGTTTTGTATCTGCTGTGCATTATATCAGATCTGTATTGTGCCTAGTGTTTGAATACCTGTTGTATGTTGTACCTGTTGTGGGTTGTACCTGTTGTGCATTATACCTGATCTGTATTGTGCCTGTTGTGTGTTGTACCTGCTATCTGGTATATATGTTGTCTGTTGTAACTCTTGTCTGTTATACCTGTTGTCTGTTGTACCTGTTGTCTGATGTATCTGTTGTCTGCTGTACCTGTTCTCTGTTATAACTGTTGTCTGTTGTATCTGTTGTCTGCTGTACCTGTTGTCTGTTGTATTTGTTGTGTGTTATACCTGTTGTCTGTTGTGCCTGTTCTCTGTTATACCTGTTGTCTGTTATATCTTTGTCTGTTGTACCTGTCATCTGTTGTATCTGTTGTCTGTTATACCTGTTGACTGTTTTACCTGTTGTCTGTTGTACCTGTTGTCTGTTGTATCTGTTGTACCTGTTGTATGTTGTACCTTTTGTGTGTTGTACCTGTTGTCTGTTATACCTGTTGTCTGTTGTATGTTGTACCTGGTGTGTGTTGTACCTTTTGTGTGTTGTACCTGTTGTGTGTTGTACCTGTTGTCTGATGTACCTGTTATGTGTTGTCTGTATCTGTTGTCTGTTGTACCTGTCTTGTGTTATATGTGTTGTCTGTTGTAACTGTTGTGTTGTACATGTTGTCTGTTGTGTCTGTTGTACCTGTTGTGTGTTGTACCTTTTGTGTGTTGTACCTGTTGTCTGTTGTACCTGTTGTCTATTGTACATGTTGTCTGTTATACCTTTTGTRTTTTGTATCTGTTGTGTGTTGTACCGGGGGTGTTGTACCTTTTGCGTGTTGTACCTGTTGTCTTATGTACCTGTTGTGTGTTGTCCGTTGTATATGTTTTCTGTTGTACCTGTTTTCTGTTGTACCTGCTGTCTGTTGTAACTGTTGTGTGTTGTATCTGTTGCCTATTGTACCTGTTGTGTGTTGTACCTGTTGTCTGTTGCATCTGTTATCTGTTGTATCTATTGTCTGTTGTATCTCTTGTCTTGTATCTGTTGCATGTTGAACCGATTGTATATTGCACCTTTTGTCTATTGTACCTGTTGTCTGTTATACCTGCTGTCTGTTGTACCTGTTGTGTGTTGTACGTGTTGTGTGTTGTACGTGTTGTCTGTTGTACCTGTTGTCTATTGTACCTGTTGTCTATTGTACGTGTTGTCTGTTATACCTTTTGTGTGTTGTATCTGTTGTCTCTTATACCTGTTCTGTTGTATCTATTGTGTGTTGTACCTCATGTGTATTGTACCTGTTGTGTGTTGTACGTTTTGTGTGTCGTACATATTGTGTGTTGTATCTGTTGTCTGTTGTACATTTTGTATGTTGTACCTGTTGTGTGTTGTACCTGTTGTCTGTTGTACCTGTTGTGTATTGTATCTGTTGACTGTTGTACCTGTTGTGTGTTGTATCTGTTGTCTGTTGTACCTGTTGTGTGTTGTACATGTTGTGTTTTGTACCAGTTGTCTATTGTACCTGTTGTCTATTGTACCTGTTGTGTGTTGTACCTGTTGTCTATTGTACCTGTTGTGTGTTGTACCTGTTGTCTATTGTACCTGTTGTGTGTTGTATCGTTGCGTGTTGCACATGTTGTGTGTTGTACCTTGTGACTATTGTGCCTGTTGTGTGTTGTATCTGTTGTCWATTGTACCTTTGTGTGTTGTATCTGTTGCGCGTTGTACCTTTTGAGTGTTATACCTGTTGTCTGTTGTACCTGTTGTCTATTATTCCTGATGTGTGTTGTACCTTTCATGTGTTGTATCTGTTGTGTGTTGTTCATTTTGTGTGCTGGACCTGTTGTCTGATGGACCTGTTGATGTGTTGTCTGTTATGCCTGTTGTCTGTTGTACCTGTTGTCGATTGTAYCTGTTGTGTGTTGTACCTGTTGTGTGTTTCTTCTGTTGTTTGTTGTACCTGTTGTGTGTTTTACCTGATGTCTGTTGTACCTGTTCTGTGTTGTACATGTTGTGTGTTGTACCAGTTGTCTATTGTACCTGTTGTGTATTGTACCTGTTGTGTGTTGTGCCTGTTGTGTGTTGTACCTGTTGTCTATTGTACCTGTTGCGTGTTGTACATTTTGTGTGTTGTACCTGCTGTCTATTGTACCTGTTGTGTGTTGAATCTGTTGCGTGTTGTACATGTTGTGTGTTGTACCTGTTGTCTATTGTACCTGTGGTGTGTTGTATCTATTGTCAATTGTACCTGTTGTGTGTTGTATCTGTTGCACATTGCACCTTTTGAGTGTTATATCTGTTGTCTGTTATACCTGTTGTGCATTGTACCTGTCATGTGTTGAATCTGTTTTGTGTTTTACCTTTTGTGTGTTGGATCTGTTGTCTGATGGACCTGTTGTGTGTTGTCTGTTATACCTGTTGTCTATTGTACATGTTGTGTGTTGTACCTTTTGTGTGTTGTACCTGTTGTGTGTTGCATCTGTTGTTTGTTGTACCTGTTATGCATTGTATCTGTTGTACCTGTTGTGTGTTGTACCTGTTGTGTGTTGTACCAGTTGTCTATTGTACCTCTTGTGTGTTGTATCTGTTGCGTGTTGTACCTTTTGAGTGTTGCACCTGTTGTGTTTTGCAATTTGTTTGTTGTACCTGTTATGCACTGTATCTGTTATATCTGTTGTGCATTGTACCTGTCATGTGTTGTATCTATTGTGTGTTGTACCTTTTGTGTGTTGGACCTGTTGTATGTTGTCTGTTGTACCTGTTGTCTATTGTATCTGTTGTGTGTTGTACGTGTTGCACATTGTACCTTTTGTGCATTGTACCTGTTGTGTGTTGCATCTGTTGTTTGTTGTACCTGTTATGCATTGTATCTGTTGTCTGTTGTACCTGTTGTGTGTTGTACATGTTGTGTGTTGTACCAGTTGTCTATTGTACCTCTTGTGTGTTGTATCTGTTGCGCCTTGTACCTTTTGAGTGTTATACCTGTTGTGTGTTATACCTGTTGTGTATTGTACCTGTTTTGTGTTGTATCTGTTGTCTGTTGCACCTGTTGTGTATTGTACCTGTTGNTGTTGTGTGTTGTACCTGTTGCCTATTGTACCTGTTGTGTGTTGTATCTGTTGTGCATTGTTCCTTTTGAGTGTTATACCTGTTGTCTGTTATACCTGTTGTGTATTGTACCTGTTGTGTGTTGTCTCTGTTGCGCGTTGTACCTTTTGAGTGTTATACTTGTTGTCTGTTATACCTGTTGTCTATTGTACCTGTTGTGTGTTGAATCTGTTGCATGTTATACTTGTTGTCTGTTATACCTGTTGTGTATTTTACCTGTTGTGTGTTGTATCTGTTGTCTGTTGCACCTGTTGTGTGTTGTACCTGTTGTGTGAGTAGATGTTTCTCTGACTCCAGAGCGTGGCGGTGCTGCAGACGTTTGTAGCGGCAGGACTGAGCATAGCCGCGGTTCTTCAGCGTTCGGCGTTTCTGCTTTAGACGCACCACCTCGTCTTTGCTCACTCCTCGCAGGTGTCGGTTCAACTCCCGCACGGACAGACTGACCAGCTGCTCGTCTGAAAAGCGTTCGTTCAGCCCGCACTGCTGAAGCAGGTGGAGGAAACACAGAACATTTCTGCTTGTCACTGTTCATGAACAACACGCAGAGAAAGAGCAGAGATGTGTGCAGCTAGTGGGACTTCCTGTTTGTATCTGTGACGTGTCAAACTGTGTGCATTTATAGTGTAAGCCTGTCCGCCCGTCAGAGGGCACATTTCAGCAGCACATGTCCATAATCTGTCATGTAATCTGACTGAGTGTGGGTGACAGTTATCAGGATTAGGTACAGCAATAATAGCAGATATTATCATAAGCTCACACTGTGCTCTATATAAAGATTCATCCAGACAGGTTGATCAACTCCAACACAGATTAAACAGTTTAATTACATCCAGGCGGGCAGTGTTTATTTAACAGTGCGTTGTTACCAACATGCTTAATGCATATGTCAAACAGATGTTTGTGTGAAAAACAGGAACCCAGTTTCTGAAGCCTGATTCTTACTCAGCTGCCACAGTGGTCAACTAGTTGGAGACGTGATACATTTTAACGCTGTGTCACATGAATGTTACACAAAGTCTTGGAAACATTTGGACTAAAATTGCTGTAAATCTGCATAGCAAACTCATCAATGTTACGTGATACTTTTATGACAATATCTCAACAAATTGTACATTTACAGCAGTCCTGCAACAATGGTCAACAATGTCTGACAGTAGAATCGGGACCAAACATTAATTTACCAGTCTTCTCCCTAGTCCAGTGTTAAATTTGTCTTCAGACCTGAAGCAAATTAGAAAAGAGGAGCAAAGTCTGCTAAGGAGAACCACAGGCAGGACATCTCCAGAAGGTTTTGTAATGGAAGGCCATGTGGGGTCAAGGTTTGACACCAGACTAGAGGCCAACAACAACTCTGGGACTACAAGGAAACAGAACCGTCACAAATATTTCTACACATTTGGAAAAATTCCTCAGTGAGTGGGAGACTGGTTTAAAGGGATCGCCGATTAGTTGTAACATTAGACTTTATTTGATAAAAATATATTTTAACTGTAAAATAAAGACTGTAGAAATACTGTAGGCTGTTTAGTTTTTGTAATTTTAAAAATATGTTTTAACACAGACGGAGCCATTTTATTTCCACACAAAGCATTCTGGGTAAATGATG